CAGAATAAATATTACTAATGTCTGAAGCAAAGATTTGTTGATTCCTTTAAAGGAAGTAATTGATGAAATACAAAATAAAATTTAAGACTTATTTATTTATTTATTTATTTATTTGTGTGTGTGTGTGTGTATATGAGTGCTCTACTCATTTGCATGTCAGAAGAAGGCATCAGATTCCATTATAGATGCTTGTGAGACTGAGTCAGTGCTCTTAACTTCTGAGCCATCTCTCCAGCCCTATAAAATAGAATCATGAGGCCACTTGTTAAAAGTTATAATAATGTGTACAAATTTACATCAGACATGTAGATTGTATTTGGCTTTCAGGTAATCTTTCAGTTAGCATTTTGCTATTACTGTCTCAGAGATTATGACTGCTTTAAATTAAATATTGCAGGAAACACTTCCAGTGAGAGAGGAAGATTGACAGGCTTGCTTAAGGTCCATAAGTTTTCCATGTCATTGAGAGCGGCCCTGGTTAGACATCACTGTTTACCTGAGAGAGGAAAAGACACTTTTTGTAGTTTGAAGCAGCCAGCTCTTAGAATCTGAACAAGGTTTCTGGATGCACCATTCATTACATTACATCAGCTTCTTGGACTTTAGAATTACTTGGATCCTTAAGATTATTATTTTTTTCTGTTCCTTCTCAATTATTATTATAGTTGATTATAATTGTATCTGTGTGTTTTTTTTTTTGGTTGTGACTGTATTTGTACAAAAGTTAATTCCAGTTAGTAAAACTTTTAAAAAGTTACTGTAGAATTTATTTTCCAGTTGAGGATACTTTAGACAGAGAGGAAACGCTTTCAATAAGCATGCATGTGCAACAGGTGCAGCCTGGGACTCGTGGCTGTCCTGTACACTGGGCTGTGTGAAGATTAGGGGAGGAAGAGGAAGGAGGGAGGCTCACAAGTTCAAGGTCATAGCAGCCTAGCAGATTCAAAGCCTGACTGGGAACCTTGACACCCTGTCTCAACAACCAAACAGTAAAAGCATGAAAAAATACATAGTAATCTCTTGTGAATGCTTATTGGCTTTTAAACTGTTTTTTAGGAGCATGTTTGTTTTTACAGTCAGTAACCAAAACCGTGTAGTCATTTGTCTTGATTTGAGTTTTTAACCTCGTGGTTTATTTCATTTACAAAACAAGAAAGTTATATTTGATACTGTATACTAACTGATCTTTAAAGACCCCTTTATTTTTAGGTTTTGATGGGGTTTTTTATCTTGTTTTTTTTTTTTTTAATTTTTTTGTTTTTTGTATTTTAAGCAAGGTCTTACTATTTAGCCCTGGCTGGTCTAGAACTCTTTATGTAGATCAGGCTGGCCTTGAGCTTACAGAGATCTCCCTGTCTCCGCCTCCTAAGAGTTGAGTTGAGAGCTGCAACATCCAGCAGACCCTTCATTTTTATAATAGCGGTGCCTACTGGGATAACTGTAGACACTTACATATTTTCAAACTCATTGGAATGGGAAGATTAGAAGCTGGTTGGGAAGACTTGGGAGTTACCAGTGATGTTCGGGAGTCAGCTTTCTTAGAACACTGTTGGGCACCTAAACAGGATGTCGACACACAGGAAGCACTGAGAAACAGCGTTGGGTGTGCACTAAGTATCACACCTTAACCAGATTGTTTATGTGCCCCGTCAGTTAGGAGCTGTGGGAGCTCTTAAGTGCTATAGATTATGGACTCAGGAAAGTATACTAACAGAATTAATGTTCTTAGCACGTCTTTAAGCAGTCTCAATCGTTAAATGTTTATGATTAAACACTGAACAGCAATTGTTTAAGTGGGTGGCTTAATTAACATATTATTAAAGCTAATGATCTATTCGGAAATTATTTTGTATCCTGAAAACTTTTTTTTTTTTGTCTGTTTTGTTTTGTTTTAATGCGGGATCTCACTGTGTAGCTCTGGCTCTTCCGAAATTCACTGTGTACTAAAGGTGTCAGCCACCAGGTCCGACTTCTTCAAAACTTTTGAGGAAGCTGAGCACTGAGACAGGGGTGGGAGGTTGTGGGGGAGGGAATTGACTCTTCAAGGTGACTACTATAACCAAGTTCTTTAGTATAACCATTACTATAAAGTTAGTTCGTGGTGATAGCCAGTTTTCCAAATATAGTCTAAACATTTTTATCCCCTTCCCTTTTAGGATGGTATCGGCAATGCAGTATTATCCCTTATAGCAAAGATGTCGACCTAGGAATTTTCATACAAGATTACAAACCTGATATTATTTTGGCATTTCAGAATGCGGGACTTCCACTCAAACACAAGTTTGGGAAGGTTGGTGACAATCCACTTAGTTTCATTAATACTAGGTCTCAGTTGTAAAGTTTACCTTAGCTTATATGTAATTCAAGGTGTATGGCAAACAATTTTGTGACCCAGCAGCACTTCCCCAGGACGGGCTGGGGAAGCTTGCCATCCCTTAACATTTCTGTACTACTAAGTAAAAGGTCAGAAACATGGCCTTTTATTAATAATGATGAAAAGAGGATGGGGAATTTGTTTTGTTTTGTTTTTTTCCCAAGGTAGGGTCGGGCTGACCTTCAACACCCCCCCCCCCAGTGCTGGGATTAAAGGCTCCTGCCACCACCGCTGGCAGACATAGATTCTTAATAAGTGACTGTATTGTATTCTGTTATGCCATAATATGGTATAAAGTTAATATAAAGATAGAATCCCACCTACTCTATTTGAAGTTACATTTTTTTCTGAGTCATCTAGTTAAATGCTCACTTCAGATTAGATGTCATACTAATCATGAACACAGGTGTCCCATTGATGGTAAGGACAGGGATACGGAGCCACATGTAACAAATGCTGGAGTTTCTTGTTTGGCTCCTGTGTGCCGAGGTGATCGACTTCTCAGAGGCTGACGTGGGCGAGGGCAGCGTGGCTGAGATGAGCCCTTCAGAAAGCGCATGATCCTCTGTGATAACCCTGCTCTTCGTTTCTCCCCAGGGAGGCAGCAGCCTACAGAGCAAGTTAAAACCTTTTCCATTCCCGGAAAATTGTTTTTCCCCATCAGAAGTAATCTTTCTAATTTATTTTTTTTTTTTTAAAGTGAGAGTTTTCTGAGGCCAATGCAGTAGCTTCCGGCCTTGGTAGATCCTCGCCAGCTGCTGGCCGCTGTCTGGCACCGTGCTTTGCAGTGGGACACACAGACGGGTGCGTTAGCCTTCGTCCCCTTGAGGGTCACAAAAGTGACTGTGTGGTGCTGTTGAAGACACATGCACCAGTCCAATGTGAACTTTACTTTTACGCTACGTTACCTTTCCTTTACTCATTTAGTTAGAAGGGGGCTCTGGAATGTGGTGCTTCAGTATCCCCCGCAGAGGGACAGTGTTAGCTACCATGAGGCGTTTACTCATGCCTTGTCATCAGTTTAAGAAACATGATTTTATATGCGCTAAAGAAAAGCTACTGTAGAATCCCACTTTCACGGGGATTTAGGTTTAAAAAGCATGCATCCTAAAATTAATACTCACTATATAAAATATTTTCCTTATTAAATATGAAGATGAATTTCTGCTGTTTCAGGCTGTGAAGGTTTTCCTTTTCCCTGCAGGTGGAGGACAGCTTGGAGCTCTCCTTCCAGGGACAGGATGACGTCAAGCTTGACATTTTTTTCTTCTATGAAGAGACTGACCATATGTGGAACGGAGGCACTCAGGCCAAAACAGGAAAAAAGTTTAAGTATGAATCAGATAAGTACTTCCTAAACGGGGTGATGGGGGCAGTTTCAGAAGGAAAAAGTCCCCCAAGGCCCCATCAGCAGCTGATATGCTCTCAGCTTACCCGGAATCCAGCTGTCCTGGGAGGTTCTGGGGAGCGCTCGCTCTGAGCTGGTCTGAGAGAAGGGAGTCTCACCAAGGCTGTCAACTAGTGGTGTCATGATCAAGGCCCTGAGTTACCACAGCAGTCTAACAATGCTGTTTCTCTTGGGTTCATCCCATCCTCCTACGGTCCCTGAGTCTTCATCTGAAGAGTGGAAAGTAAATTTGTTCTGGAGGTTTGGAAGTAATCCAAACCTTCTGGAAGTTATAAACTATCCCGTAGTTGACTCTGATCCTAGAATGTACTCTTGAAACTTTTGTTAATTATAAAAATAACTTAGTTTTATGACAACACACTCTACTGAGTAAAATCTGAATACAAGATTCGTAGAAATAACAATTCAAACAGAGAGAAATGGGCCACTGAGGTGGCTTAGCAGGTAAGACATTTGCTGCCAAGCCTAACAACCTGAGTTGGCTCATTGGGGACCTGCATGGTGGAAGGAGAGACGACTCGTAGGAATGGCCCTCTGAGTTCCACACATGCAGCCTGCTGTACCCTACCCACCCACAATGGACCTAATCACTAATTAAGAAAATGCCCTACAGCCGGGTGGTGGTCGCAGAGGCAGGTGGATCTCTGTCAGCTTGAAGCCAGCCTGGTCTACAAGAACTAGTTCCAGGACAGGCTCCAAAGTTGCAGAGAAACCCTATCTCGAAAAACAAAAGAGAAAGAGAGAGAGAGAATGAGAGAATGCTCTCTAGGTTTGCCTATAGCCTGATCTTGTGGAGAACTTTTTTAATTGAGATTCCCTGCTCTCAGATGACTCAGGCTTGTGTCAAGTTGATATAAAACTATCCAGCACAGTAAGTAACAGGTGCTGTTGAAAATGTCTATAGCTTATTTATTTGAAATATGATAGAAATTCCAAAATTAATGTATAATGAGTTTTTTTCCTTGTAAGATAGCATGCCATAGAAATTAAGATCATACAGACCCAGAAACACAAATATCATATGCACTCACTCGTAAGTAGCCTTTAGACATAAAGAAAACCAGCCTACAAATCACAATCTCAGAAAACCTAGACAACAATAAGGACCCTAAGAGAGATGGATCTCATCTACATGGGAAGTAGAAAAAGACAAGATCTCCTGAGTAAATGGGAGCATGGGGATCTTGGGAGAAGGTAGAGGGGAGAGGAAAGGAAGGGAGGGGAGCAGAGAAAAAATATATAGCTCAATAAAAACAATTTTTAAAAAAGATCAAAATTAACCAAAATGAAAACAATATGCCTTTAGAGTATTATTTATAAAAAGCACATGAATTTGGAAAACAAAGTAGATGGGCACTTAATGGACAAAGGAAACAGGAAGAAGTCTAAAGAAGGTGTGTGAGCCTAAGTATGTTTTCCTGATTCAGTTGATTTCTGTTCTAAAATTTTTAGCAATCCCCAGTTTGTTTCAGATAAATGGTGGTATCACACACACAAAAAAAAGAAAGAAAGAAAGAAAGAAAAGAAAAGAAAAGAAAAGAAAAGAAAAAAATTAAGATCTTAGAGCTAGCTTTTAATCGCACTTGTACATGTTACAAGTACTGCCTGCAGCAATTTTTAGTTAAGTTCTCTACAGTTTCTCCACTTCAGAGTGGAAACACTATTAGACGTTGTCATGCAGCCTTGTTCTAAGGACTAAAGATAGCATTGTATGATTTTAAGGGTGTCAGGATGTCCAGAACACTATGAAGCTGGTGTTAATACCAGCACAGTAATAGTGAGAAAAAGTGACCCTTTCCATAGTCTTGTGGGAAATTCAGACTAGGTGCCGTCCTCAGCTCAGGATGAAGTCGCTACATCTGTTTTTCGGGAAGTCATGTCAGGGTGCCAGTCTTTTGTCCTAGGTCTCCTGTCAAGGGTGAATGTTTCTTCTCATTGGTGTGATCTGAGAACAGTCCTCAGAAGTGTTCATCTCAGTGGCCGCGTTCTGGGTAGAGACCATGCGTTCACTCCCGCTGCTCTTTATAGTACAGTGTTGGGAGGTGTGAAGTTCTCTGACTAGCGGAGAAGTGAGCAGTGAGGGAACTGTCTGGACAGATGGTGTGCGTCCCAGATTTTCTCTCGTGTTACTGTGACCTTAAAAGGCAGAGAAAAGAACAGGGGAAGGCTGTGCGGAGCCATTTCTTTGGAAGACTCCCCAGCCATATGTCATTGTCAGCACTGCTTACTTTCAGGAAATACAGGCTTTATCACACTGCCATTTCTAAAGGGGAGGACCTGAAACTTAAAACTAGTGTGAGAGTTTTCAAATTTTATAATACTGTTTTTTTTTTTTTGCTGTTGTTGTTTTTGTGGGTTTTTTTTAAACCCATAAGTTATTCATATCTAATTTATCTTTTATCATAACCAAGGAAAGCTATAGTTATAACTACCTAGTCTTCAATTCCATCAAAGACCCCAGAAGGATATAATATCCTAAGTAAACAGGAAGTACATTATAAGCAACTTCCAAAGTTCTAGAATTGACAGAGACGTCTTGCTGTCTGGACAGTCACCCCAAGTTCTTTTGTAACATTGGGGCATCCATCTTCAGCCTACAGGCCCATAGCACACGGGCAGTAGTGTTATCCTTTACCTTAACGGATTGAAGCAAACACTTCCCAGGGCACAAGGCCTCACGTTCCATCTCTAGCATTGCCACACGGGGGAGGGCAGGGAAAGTGATGGCTGAATTGATGACATAAATTCTCATAGTTAGCCAAAGATCTTTTAAGGAAATTTGAATTAAGGGGGATATGGGATTGCCTTGATTTAATGAAGGGAAGATAGTGGAAACCTAGCGTGAGCGTCATGTTCAATGATGAGACTTGAGAAGCTTTTCCATTGCAATCAGAAAAGCAGCGTGTGTTGGCTGTTCTGTTAAACACTATGTTAGTGTTTTGGCCCTGGAATAGCAGATAAATTGGTTAAGCCAATATAAGATGCTAATGGGATAAACTGTGTTTTGAGAGAAATTCGGGGTGGGGCTAGGGAGTTTGGCTGTGCTCTTGCGGCTGCAATATAGTGCAGGTCAGCTGTAGATGGCTTCTGTCTTGCTTAGCCTCTTTAATTAGCACCAGTAAACACTGCTCTAGAGTGCCGGGGACCCTTCCTTCTCATTTAGCAATTATGTTCAAAGATTGGGCAGTTGAGCTGATGAGATTGTTCTAACCACCCCAAGTGGCTCTATTTGTTTTAAAATTTTTGGAAGAAAATAAAAACATCCTACTCTAGCTCCTCTTCAATCTAGCCACTGTTCTCACTGCTGCTTCCGGCAACAGTGGAATGGAGTGAAGTGCTTCAAGTTAGGAGACAGATGGGAGAAGTTTTTGCAATAGTAAGAACTCTTACATTTGTATCCTGATTTAGGGTGCCTTAGACTAAATTTAAATCTGTTCGAATTTTGAATCTCCCCCTAAGGCTTTAAAGTACAGACTGCTCTGTGCCAGATTTCATCATAGCTTTTAAATCCAAGGTAACACTGAGAGATTTAGTACCGGTCATTATTTACTGGTTACCCAGGCAAAGTCCACACATGCGCTGTTCTGTGTGACTTCCTGCCCCCTTCCTCTCCATGGTCTGACTTTACAATGACCACATTTTATGGATTGTTTATCTTTCCTATTCTCCTGGGAAGCCAAGGCACTTTTTTGCCGAATGGACTAAAAATGAGTAGAGAAATGAAAACCACAGCCCAGGGATTTGGTTAGGAACAGAAGTTAGCATTAGAGTTGAATTGTTGGTTTTCACGTTGTTTCTATACTTTAAGTGTTTTGGGTTTGCTCTTAGGTTCTTCTTCGCTGTTCCAAGCTCTGCTTTTGTAACTGTGGTATTCTACTGCATGAGTCTTCAAGTTGTTGCTCTTCTCTCGGCTCTTAGATGAGACTAAAGGCTGATATTTAAGGGCGAAGCTTCCTCGTGGCTGTTACTAGGTAGATCGTGTCAGTCTCAGTTCGGGTTCATTGTGTCAACCTGATGGTGTGGGGCAGGTGGACATTCTGCTGACCAGCAAGCAGTTGTGGGGGGGTGGAGGCTGAAGATGGATAGCTCTGCCTCCTGACAAAATAAGTCATTCCCTGGGTATGAGTGTACACGGGGAAACTGGGCCCAGCAGGTGGTGGCTCTAAGCAGGATCTGATTTCTTTCTCGGCAATGAGATTTGCTATGGCTGTCTTTTCAGAGATGCCAGCTGGCACTGCCCGCTAACTGCCAGTACCTACTGGCCTTTGTAGTGAACTTGTTGCTTTCTTTAGAATGTATTCAGACACACTTCCATGTATGGCTTTGTGTTTGCTTCATGGTGAAACAAGGTATTCAAAAGTAGAATCCGTTCTTGGGGTTCACCTGCCAGTAAAACATGATAACCAAATGCAGTCAGATCCCCTCTCTCCAGTTCTTTACTCTCTCTCTAATTCTCTGCTGTATTAAACTTTTGATCCCCATTATTGCCATTTCAGGTTTGATTATGGAAAGTTCTTTCTGAGTTATAAAGAAAAAAGTTTCTCATTGAGAATCCAGCCCAGAATATAGAGCTATGTAACTAGAAACAGGCCGCTGCTTTTAACTTTCCTTTGTAATATGTCATATATAATTTACTTAATCCAAAGGACCTATTTAAATATTTTGTTTTTTGAGACAGTGTCTTATGTAGACCAGGCTGCCCTGGAACTCACTAAATGACTGAAGCTGGACTTGAACTCCTGATCTTCGTTCCTTCCCCTCCCAAGAGGTTTAGAGATGTTCTTTAGAATTTAAGAGGAAAGAGGGGTAGTTTTATTGTGTCTAGAGCAGAGGAAAAACCTAGGGGATGCTGTTGGGATCAGTCCTTGTCCTTTGGAACACCAGGTTGTGTGAGAGAAGAAAACGACCGCTTCCTCCCATTCTGTGGAAACGTTATGACACCTCTTTCCCAAGGTTTCCTTAAAAAGTCCCAGGACTGACTTCAATTTGCCTAATTTTCGTGTATTCCCATCTCTGAAGCGATCGCCGTAACTTACTAACCAGACCTGGGTTCTATTTAAGTTGGTTGGGTAGTATTTTTTCTCATCTCTGGAGCTTATGGATGGGATTAGCTCCCCTTCAGATGGATGCAGAACTGAAGAGGAAGATCAGGGTGTAAACCCCGAAAGAAGAAAGGAGTGCTGAGAAGATAGAAAATAAATGCCAACTCTCTCCCCCAAATCTGCTTAATAGGAAAGGGCTGACTCTCCGCCAAGAAGGCATGCACAGCAGTTGGTTACTTGGCCTAATGCTCCCTGCTTGCCCTTGTTTTGCCGCAGGTACCTGTTTCCCAAGTTCACACTGTGTTGGACAGAGTTTGCAGACATGAAAGTCCACGTGCCCTGTGAAACAGTTGACTACATTGAAGCCAACTATGGTAAGACCTGGAAGATTCCTGTGAAGACATGGGACTGGAAGAGCTCACCCCCAAATGTTCAACCCAATGGGATCTGGCCTATTTCTGAGTGGGACGAGGTCATCCAGTTGTACTGAGAATACAAAGTTAAGGAGGGACATTTCCCAACAAGAAGATGGGCAGCTGTTCAAAGCACCCCTGTCTTTTTGCTGCATATGAGAGCCAAAGAAGATAAATGACAAGTGGACCATCTAATCAGCTGTCGTTCTACAATTTCTGAGGAGTTTCTACACCAGGTGAAATACTAAGTTCTGGTGGATAGGCAGAGATGAACAAGCAAATGCTGCCTCTCTCCTGTCATGTTGGTAAGCAGTCCAGTCTTCTTTTAAGGGAATGTCCCCCACCCTCTGAAGAGCTGGTGTACGTTACGATGTATTCCATAATGATTCTTAAAATGTTGAGTGATGTTTATGCTGGGAAGTGAGCTCATCATTCAAAGCTAAGGAGAGTACATTAGTTAGGAATCATTCATTCCTGCCTGTCCTCTGGATTTAAGCTGCTGCGTTCATGCCACTTTTGAGATTGTGGGATGTGAGTTAGTCCTTCATGAGTGATCAGACTTTATGTCGCATAGAGAAAGGTAGTGGCAGACTCATCTTACAAGCATTTCTATCACAGTTGGCTTAAAGCACAGGGCGATTTATAAAGGAAGATGAGAGTCCATTTCAAGCCTTGTCAGGATGCATAGCTTCATGTTTGAAGTGAGAGGTTGATGCCTACGTGAGGTTTATGTTTCCGACATCATAGGAACATCTTCGCTGACCTGCAGTAGCACGTGCTCATGAGTCTCTCAGTCTTGCCGTCTGAAAGCTGTGATTTCCCAAGGCTTACTTTCCTTATTTCAGTCCCAATCACTCTTAGATTTAAAAAATAGGAGTAATTCATGGATATTTTTTATTTTCTGAACTTGGACCTCTTCTACCCTTTATTTTAATGTTGGCACTAAATACTAATAGACACACCTCTGAGGTTCTAAATAGACCCTTTATTTATTTATCAACAGTAGCTCTGTTTCTTTAATATATAGCCTACACACTGATTTATTTAAAATAAAGATACGACTGTTGTTCTCTCCAATACTACTTCAGGTTTCCATAATGAAGGCTTAATGTGAACCTGGTAACTCTTCCTTGTTCCAGATCACTGCTTTTAAAGCCTGTGTCCATCCCTAGATTTTCCTTCTGCTGAGTGTAATAGTTCAAGGCTCAGACTTCCTCCCTACCAAGTACTACACCTGCTGGACCCTTGACCTCCTTCTTCTTCACAAAATACACTCGTGAGTAGGCTGGGTTAGCTGCACCCTTCTCTTTACCTGTACTTAAGCCATGTGCTCTAAGTGAGATATGCAGGGGAGTCTGGTGCAGTAAATGCTGCCTGGGAGAGGAGGTTCTCTACTCTCTGCTTAGGGATGCTTCCCATGACAGCCTGACAGATTTCCCTTTGAAACTATAGTTGCAAAAATGAAAACCAGAATGTCTAAGGGAATGAGCTGGCAGAATTTAAAAAAAACAAAACAAAACAAAAACTTGAGAAGTCACTTGAAGCCACCCACTTCCAAATTTCAAAATCAAGGTGAAAACTCTTTGATAGACAATAAGCAACAGTCTGTGAGGATGCATCCTCCATGCAGGGAACTGAGTCTCATCATAACCATCATAAGCAGATGTTCAGAGACTTTTGTAATTATTAACAAATGTGTCCCCAAATTACAGATCATAAACAGTTCTTTCCTAGAAAATAAGTCCACATTCTGTGTACCCACGATTTAGGTAGCCAACCCTAATTTCATTTTTTTGTGTACCAGAAATACAGCATTTGATGATAGTGTTCTTGAGAAACCCCCTATCTGAGCCCACTGGGTTGTACTCAGTATCCAGAAGCAAGTGCACTCACATTGTGTTTCTTGAGAGCCCTCATCTCCTGCCAGGGGAGCCGACCTACTCCTGCTCAAATTGCTTTGTTTGTATCCATCTTTGGAGTTCAAGGTTGGGAAGCGTCCAGAGTACAAGCTATCTTGGCCAAGGTCAGAGGTTTCATATATTCTTTCCTACACAGAGGACAGCTAAACATCTTGTCTTCCCTCTGATTGTCTTTAGTGTTGGGGTTCCTTTCTACCTTGGAGAAAATGAAAGCCTTTCCCAGAATTTGAAGGCGAGGCCTGCTTTGTAAAATGATCCCATGATTCAGTCACAGTGAAGCCTGTGCTTCTTAACCTTTGAACTCTGCTGTCCAGAGACCTTGGGTTAGGTGCGCTCACCCCCTTACCTTCTCAGATCACTTTTCATTCCTCCCTGAATATGCCCACTGTCTTTTTATATGACTACTTTCCGGTCTGATTGCCTGGTTTACTTGAAGATATCTCTTCTGTTAACTTGTTGGCAGTTATGTAACCAAGGATATCTCCAGAGAGACCCTGAGAAGCAAACACTTTCTCAGTTTGCAACAGCCAGCTACTGTTCCAAACATGGAGCACATGCCCTGCTCTTGGCTGCCTTATTGACATCTGGCCACCGAGATAAAATAATAGTCACCACAGCTGGCCGTCTAAGAATAGCTGAGCCGCTAGAGAACGGGCTTCTCAGATTCCCTTGCTAGCCTGCAGTGTGACCACTGTGTACTTAGTGAAGCATTCTTTCTGGCCCTCATTTCTCAGCTGGTCGGTAATCCCAGGAAGGAGCTAGCTGAGCAGAACAGCTGAGGCCACGATGCAGCAAGTGTTCTGTGACTTCTGGTCTGCTGCTGTCTGCAGACCTGAGATCAGTTCTCAATGTGGCCTCGATGACACCTGACTCCAGTGTCTCGGTCTCGGGGACGTGCCCCTTGGGGTGCTCCTGCCAGCCCCCGCTGAAGGCCTCAGGTGACAAAAGACACTAAGGAGGAAGGTTTTTTTCTTGTCCAGAATTCTTAAGCTACCTTCTTACCTTTATCTGGAAAAAAAAAAAAAAAGCCTTATCTACAAAAAATAGAACAGTTTATGTCTGAAGACATCAGCCTGTGTTTCCTGACTCTTGAAATGTTTTAAAGGGTACTCCGGTTCAGGGCTAGGGTTAAGTACTTATAAAATGTGCTGTTTCCAACTTCCTGTTTCCTTGGTAATCATTTAAATTGTAGGTGAGGATGCACTGCCTTCTCAGAAGGTTGCATGACAGAAGTTGCTTATAAATAAAATTGGGGGTGGGGCACTGAGATGACTTAGTGGGTAAAAGCCCTTGTCACCAAAGCTGACTTGTGCATGATCCCCAGTACCCATCCAGTGCAAGGAGAGAACTGATTTCCACAAGTTGCCTGTGACTCCTGCGCGTAGGCTCCAGTGTGCTTGCATCTCCTCTCCAGCACACAGGTAAATGTAGTGAAACAGCCTATTGTGTCTGCGCAGTGCAGCTCAGATGATGTCGTTTATGAACTGAGAGTCATTGCCGTATTACCTCCACCTGTAAACAGAGCTGCGCTTTCATTCAGCTGACCAAGCTGCTGTCTTCTGATGGTATCCATGTACTACTGTTTTCTTCTAAGCCCGGCCAGTTTGCTCTCTGATTTGGTGCCTGATCTGCTATGGACTTGCTTTTCAGTATTCTAGTTTTGGGTGGCAAACATCACCATATGTACAGATCTGCAGAACCGAGGCTTTGGAGTGCTTAGTTATTCTTTGCCTACCCTGGATGGAGATGCGGATAGTGGAGACTTCTTGCCCAGCGTGTGTGAGGCCAGGATCAGTACAAATCGCAAGAAATCTGAGCAGAAGGATTACCATGTTCGAGACCAGCCTGGGCTACACTGTGAAGACTCTGTATTGAGGGAGGAAGAAGGAGAGAAGAGAGACAGACACAGAGAAATGAGAATATGCTCATGTCAATCATCTGCCCACAGATTTATGTTTTTGTCTAAGCTAGGCAAGAAGTAGCAGCATATGTCATCCTGTTTTAAGTTATTTTACATTAGAGCAAAACACTAATTATAGTTAATTGTAGGCAAACAATTTAGTCCTTTTGTATACAACCAGTAAGCAAATATAAATTTTCTGAGAATTTTTGTTTCTGTCCCCTCAGAACACGTAGGCTAGAATTTGCCCCCATAATTCCTAGACCCAACCTAATAGAATTTTTCTGGGGGCCCACACAGCTATCCGAACTTCCTCTGAGAAGCTTTTACAGAAGGGAGTGTATAGGAAAGCTTTGTCACATGAAATATCCTGCCATGCACTTTAAACACTACAACCTTCTGACAATTTGTTCAAAGCATGAAAATTAGTTCATGAGTTTATTGAATGCAAATCATGTGTAACTCTGTCAACATGTGTATGACTGAAACATGTATGTGAATTTTCTAGACTATCTCATGTTTTAAACATGGGATTTCAGTGTATGCATACCAGTTTCCTACTTGGTTTTTGTCTTCAGGTATAGTTCATGGTACTACTGAAAAGACTTTTAATATTATTACTCTGAGGATTTGTAATATATGATCTACTTGGGGATGATTAATAAAAAATTTTTAATCTGTTGTGCTTTTTTGTGTTTGTTTTTGAAACTTGAGCTAGAAGTAAAAGCCACTTGTTGTAAGGAGGCTGCTCGTTAGTTTCCAGCTGCTCAGACCCTAAATAAGCACTCAGAAATCATATTATTTGCAATACTGTTTGGCCAATAGCTTAAGCATATTTCCGGCTAACTCTTTTTTTTTGGATTTTTGAGACAGGGTTTCTCCATAGCTTTTGGTTCCTGTCTTGGAACTAGCTCTTGTAGACCAGGCTGGCCTCGAACTCACAGAGATCCGCTTGCCTCTGCCTCCTGAGTGCTGGGATTAAAGGCGTGCGCCACCACCGCCCGACCCAGCTAACTCTTTTTTTTTTTGTTTTTTGAGACAGGGTGTTTCTCTGTGGCTTTGGAGCCTGTCCTGGAACTAGCTCTGTAGACCAGGCTAGTCTCGAACTCACAGAGATCCGCCTGCCTCTGCCTCCCGAGTGCTGGGATTAAAGGCGTGTGCCACCATCGCCCGGCCTCCAGCTAACTCTTATATCTTAATTTAACCTATCTCTATTATCTATGTATCGCCACGAGGGCTGTGGTTTACCAGGTAGAGTTCTGGTGTCTGTCTCCAGAGGGGCTACATGGCTTCTCCTGACCCCACTCTCTTTCTCCCAGCGTTCAGTTTAGTTTTCCCCACATAGCTCTACTCTTCCCTATCAGGCCAAGCCGTTTCTTTATTAAACCGTGGTATTCACAGCATACAGAGGGGAATTCCACATCAGCCTCTAGCATTCAAAACTGGTAAAATAATAATCTTGCCACAAATACAATATTTCTAAAATTAAGTCTAGAAAGTCTACATACATACACTGGGATCCACAATTTCTCAGTGACAAAGTCTGCTAGATGACATCTTTAATCATGCAGAGTTTGGCTTATCCACGCATGGTAGCCAGAGTAAACACCCACTGTGGAGAACCATGACATACTCAAAGAGCTCTAGAAAGTTCTCTTACAGTATTCAAGCTAAAATCAAAATTGTAAAGAAATGACCCCACATGGGGTGACAATCCCTAGTTTATGCAAACCCAACAATCTATAATATATATATAATATATATATAATATATATATATAAAGAAAGAAACCAAAGAAGACTTACATGAATGGAGATACTGTGTTGAGCATTAGAAAACTCAAAAGATGTGAAATTTGCCAAAATTGATGTATTGGTTTGGTGTGCAACTCCTACAATGATCTCAGTAATTTTTTCTAAGCCTTATTCTAAAATTCGTATGATGAATTTATCTAGAGGATCTCAATCCATCTTGACAAAAACAGGTTTGACAAAAAGAATAGAAAAGAGAGTGCAGGAGAAATGGTTCCAGCGTTAAGAATACTGGGTACTCTTCCAGAGGCCCTGCTTCCCATCCCAGCGCCCACATGGCAGCTCACAACTGAGCTCCAGGGGACCTAACACCCTTTTCTGTTTCTATGGGCACCAGGCATATGCATGGCGCACACATATGTACGTGCAGACAAAACAAGCACACACATTTTAAAAAATCAAAGACAAAAAGATACAAGTCTTCTCACATTTTAATAGGTCCGTGATCTAAGGGAGATGGTGAGCCTGAGTTTCACAGTGAAATTGCTCTGTAGAGATAACAGATCTTAAACCCTGTCTTCTCATTTGAAATCCATTGGCTACAACTTCTGCCAATTGTTACTACTGGTCTAGAAAATTAAAAATTAAAAATAATTTTTAATATTAGAACTTGAATCCAACATTTTTTTCAGCAAGAAAATATATATATGAATTTGGTATAAAAATTTTATGGGGTAGCAATAGCTGGTGCCTGAGTCCTCTGCAAGGAAACTGCTGTGGGTTTTCACAAAATGGTGACTACAGTCTCTCCAGAAGCCAAGGGTCTTAGAGATGGCATCAAGGGTGGCCTTACTGAAGTTGTCCATGTGTCAGTGCAGCCCTGGCCCTCAGTGCTGGCTGGCAGCATCATCTTGAACACAAGAACGGGCATGGCTCCTGACCTTCTCAGGGCAGGGGTGAGGCACACCAGAGGAGCCACAGCAGCCTATCACCTCACATGGTACAGGGTGGAGTTTCCCATTCTTTTTCCACCAGTAACTATAGCGTCTCTGCATCGGGACGATGGGAATCTTGGCGCCATAGCTGCCAGCAGCTGCTTCTTCAGGTCAAAGTTACTCAGGGCTAGAGTGTACAGAGAGGCTTGGCTGGTGGTCTTGCTCAAAAGCGCCGAGGAAATATAGGACAAGGTGGGGTCTTGTCCAGAGGTTCTCTGGGAATTAGCACAGGCCTTTGACAACTATTGTAGAAGTTAGTTGAACTGCGGCGAGAACGCTGCTAGCAGGAATCTGGGTTTTGAGAACCGTTTTTTGACCTGTAATAGTAGAGCAATGAGGGAGTCCTGTAGTCCATAGTAGGCCTGTGCATCACAGTGCATCACGGTGCACCACAGCGCATCACAGCCGGCGCATCACAGCTTATCACAGTGCATCACAGCGCATCACAGCGCATCACAGTGCATCACAGTGCATCACAGCGCATCACAGCGCATCACAGCCGGCGCATCACAGCTCATCACAGTGCATCACAGCGCATCACAGCCGGCGCATCACAGCTCATCACAGTGCATCACAGCGCATCACAGCGCATCACAGCGCATCACAGCGCATCACAGCCGGCGCATCACAGCTCATCACAGCGCATCACAGTGCATCACAGCGCATCACAGTGCATCACAGCGCATCACAGTGCATCACAGCGCATCACAGCGCATCACAGTGCATCACAGCGCATCACAGCGCATCACAGCTCATCACAGCGCATCACAGCGCATCACAGCGCATCACAGCGCATCACAGCTCATCACAGCCGGCGCATCACAGCTCATCACAGTGCATCACAGCTCATCACAGTGCATCACAGCTCATCACAGCGCATCACAATGCATCACGGCGCATCACAGTACAGACAATGCCAAGAGGAGGTGCCCATCTGCACCTGCTGCTTTCGGTTGGAGATCAGGCCGGGATGAACTATACATAGTTGGGCCGGTAGAGATTTTAAATTCTGGGTCTCAGTCCTCATCCTCAGCTCCTGGAACCCCAGACTTCATAGGGATAACAAATTCCTCTAGTTGTCCTAGAGGGGATGGGAGTAGTTGGGACTAACCATTGACCTCACTTCTACTCTATTTGGGCCCTAATAAGTCAGATGGAATAAATCCATCTTGTTTACATTTATGCTCATCCCCCACCCCGTATCCCAGCCGAGTGTCTGCTGTGCCCACCAGAAAGAGTTGAAAACCTTATTACAAGTGAATGGCCCTGGGCCAGCCTAGAATCCCCGCAAAAGCATAGAAACAGTGAATGGAGGCTGAGCCAGGCTCATGGCAGACCACTTCTGTTAGTGTGAGTCTTCAGAATGGGTCTGAACCAGCAGCTGGTAACCTTTATTTCAGACCATTTGCAAAGATGTCAAATCTTCAGTGGTTAAAAAGACAGATGAGTCTTGAAGAGGGCAGAAGTAGGCATTAATATCTGCTATTAAAGGCAGAGGTGAGAACCCTGGTGGGAAATCAAAGTTTCTTTGTCGATCTGTTTTCTTTGTGGTGTCTTCGGATTGGATTTAAAGAGATTTTCCTAAACCGCTTCCTGGAAACCTTGGCTGGATCGGAGGATAAGGAGGGTGCTGCTGTCAGGGCCAGGCCCTGTGTGTGTGTTTGGTTTGGGATTTGTCAGTCTGGAAAGCTGGGGGTGGGAGGCGGAGTGGGGGCTGTGAGCAGCTTGAGCCTGGCAGATTTCCCCCACCTGCCTAAAATACAGCCCAGAGGGAGCGGAGAGCCCTCTTAGCTCCACCCTGCACCTCCACTCTTTGCCCCTGGATCTGTGGCCTTTATTTCAAGTCTGGTCCCCTGGGGACTGAGTGGGGAGTGAGGACAGCTGATAAGCCTGGCACTATTGACTTTATGGGGAATATTCAGTGTATTTACTTTCTACACATAAGCCGCGCTCTTATCTGTGGCCCACAGAGCATCTAAATCCTGCTCAGGGAAACAGTTTGATGAGTCATGGTCTTGTACAAAGACCAACGAATAACGAGGGGGAAACATCCCACCCACACCTTTCTCCCCTCTAGAACCTGGTCCTGCCCACCCCACCCCATCTCCCTCCGTTTTTTACCTCTGCACTTGGGTTTATTGCTTAAAAAAAAAAAATAGAAGCATTCATTGCTCTAGGCCTATGGAGTCAAGGCCAAGGCAGCATTGTCCTGAGAGGTTGGTAGGCAGCTGGGCATACCCAGAGCAGTGTGCCCCTCTAATTGGTTACTATGGGGGGAAATGCCCATTCACTTGAGGCAGTTACACGCCCCTCTTTGTGTTTCAGTGGTCAACATTTGCTCCGGACAGAACTACCCAGAAGGCCTCCACATCAGATGTGTTAGAGAGGATGTGTGTTTGCGTTTGTGTGTGTGTATGTGGAGTGAACCAGATGTCTTAGAGAAGATGTGTGTGTGTGTGTGTGTGTGTGTGTGTGTGTGTGTGTGTGTGTGTGTGTGTGTAGTGCAGGTCTTACCAAAGAGGCGCCAGCCTGGCTCCTGGAGAGTGAAAATGATTAATGAATTATAAAACAATGAATAAATAATGCTTGAGAGAAGCTTGCTTTCATTACAGGCACCTCCCTCTTCTGGTTCGTCCACACTCCGTTATCCAGCGACACTGCTCCAGGTCACTCAGAGAGGAGGGCAGGCCAGAACCCTGGGCTGAACAGATGAAAGGAGGCCCTTCAGAATGCACTTTGCAGAAAATTAGGGCCATGTACTTACATTTCCCTATCCCTAAACTAAAAGAACAAGTATTTCAGTGTAGATTTTTTTTTTTTTGACAGTCTTATGTAACCTATGGTTTCAAGCTCCCTGCGTAGCCAAGGATAAATCTGAACTTTGGATTCTCCTGTCTCCACCCTGTTAGTATTGGGCTTACAGGACCCTAGCCCC